GTTTTGAATTTAATTCTTGCTGCTAAATTAATAAATTTGGAACAGAAAAATTTTACACTAAAATTGGAACAGAAAAACTAAATTAATAAATTGAAACAAAATTAAAAATTTTACTGCTAAATTGGACAGTGAATTAATGGAAATTGATTGGGAAGGACATTTTTTGCCGGGGAATTTATCAAAAAAATACGTTTTTAAAAAAAAAAAAAAAAAAACAAAACGTGGTACTTGGGGTATTCAAAATCAGCGATGGGGATACAATAAAATTCTAGAATACAATAAAATTTGTAAAAAAACGAAACTGAGAAAATCTTCAATTTTTAAAATAGAAAAAAGTTTGAAAAAAAAAAAATCTGGCTCTCCAACTATGCCTCTCCAGCAATTTTCCGAGTTTTTTTGGCCAATTTTTCATCACCCGGTGGTCAGCATACTAGTGACCCTGTGGTCGTTTTCTCCTCCTAAAGGGATTTTTAGCTTAACGATTCTCCTGGCAGTGGTACTTGACAAAGCCGTAGCCATCCCAAGATATTCTTGATATATTTCATGTACCAGTTTCTCGTTCTAAGCATTCTCACTACCAAATTATGCCTACAATCGTAAAATCCCAACGAAAAGGAAGTTTTTATGTAGAAATTTAGTTTTATGGTTGCATGAAATAAAAAAATTTTTGAATAATTTTGATGGAGGAATATTTACAGTTTTGTTTTTTTTTTTTTCAAGTTTTATTGTATTCTAGAACTGTTCGCGGAAAAAGCGTCCAATTTTTTTACTAGGACACTTCTGTTTATTGATAAAAATTTTTAAATTTGCCAAGTAAATGCTGATAAATCAGGACCTGCTATCTTAGATTAGCAACGGTTGATTGTAAAACTTTAGATATTTAACGGATCGTGTGGCACCGGGCAATCGTGTTATGATCGTTGGTGTATATTCCATCAAGCGTATTTTCAAAAAACAGGTATTTTTTGAGCGAGTCCAGTGGCAAACTTATTGGAATAATGATGTTTTAATATGTTTACTGGAACTTGATATTTTAATATGTTTGTTGCAAATTAATATTTTAAAATGTTTTTTGGAGCTTGGTATTTTAAAATACTTATTGGGACTTGATTTATTAATATATTTATTGCGACTTGGTATCTTAATACTTCTACTGAAACTTGGTACCTTAATATTTTCACTGGGACTTGATAACTTAATATTTTTGTTAAGACTTGACATCTTATTATACCTCCCAGAACTTGATATCTCAATATTTACTGAAACTTGCCATCTCAGTATGTTTATTGGAGCTTGATATCTTATTATATTTAAGTACTGTTACAAATCCGAATTTTAATTTTTGAGTTTTGGCTTTTATTGATACTATTATCGTACAGGATGGTTGGCTCAGGTTTTGGTTGTATATCTTTGTAATTCTGTTATCTTCGAGCCTCTGTTCACTTCATTTTGTTCAATGGTAAATTAATTCTTCTGCCCATTACTGTATTTGATTTTTATCCTTTTTCAGAGGGCAAACGATAAAACACTCTCTGGAATTCGTACTCCATACATTCGTGTTCTCGGAATACAAGTACAAACGTGTGGACCGGGACGTGTGGAACGAAGGGAGTTTACACCAGAGGAAGAAAAATTTTTCAAGTTAGAAATTTTTTAATACAAATGTGCAACGTGTAGAATTTATCCCTTTTTTATTGTAAATTACGGCTGGCGGCGAAAAATTGGCGAAGAAGCCGTCACACAGAAAAAGAGAGGAAAGGGAAGGTGTAAATTGCATTGAAGAACAGATACACAGTAGATGTGCTGCCAGGCTGAACCTAAGCACAGTAACCGGTGGTGTAGTGGCAACACATTTCGCCCGCACGTGGAGGGAAATGGTTCGAATCCCTGGCGATTTAGGGCAATTTTTGGAGAAAGGGTTCCGTTCACGATAGCGTTAGTTAACTGGCGTGACATGGTTTCGCCAGCATGTCGGAGCAATCCCAGTAACAACACTAACGCGAGTTCCTCTCAACGTCTCTCTGGATTGTCTTGGGTACTTTTAATTTTTGTCAGCTGCTCAAATAAATTTGAGTATTGATCATTTTCGAGTAAAAGAATGAGTGCTCATTCTAAAGTAATTTGAAACACAGGACAATTTTGCAATATTTCCGTTTGATTTTTTTTTTTTCCTTTTTTGATAGGTAAAAACCATTGCTTCCTGAAATTTGCAATATTGCAGAGATTTATCAAAAACTCCAAACATCTACGAATTAATCACCAAAAGCATCGCACCATCGATTTATGGTTCGGAAGATATTAAGAAGTCGATTGCTTGCTTGCTGTTTAGCGGTTCTCGTAAAAGGTTTTCCTTCTAACACTTTTTTTCGTTTGATCACCACTGTTTGAGAATCATAATTTTGAAAAAAAAATTTTTTCCAAAGAGGTAAAAATTACTGTTTCGCTTTGTTTACGTTTAATTCGAGCGTGGCTATGGTCGCTGCTCTGTCCAGGCTTCCTTGACGGTGAAGGTGTGGTGGTGGATGAGGTACCTGTCAGTTTTCAAATTCGTTTTTGTATCGTCATTTGTTTTTTCCGCACTATATTTTGAGGTTCGAAAATGTCTTCCCCATTGTGCTTAGGATTAGACTGAGAGTCATTTTTTGCTCTATTTTCTGCCCACAGTTCTCTGGAATAAGTTTTTTTTTTTAAGACTGCCAGATGGGCTAACTCGACGTGGCGATATTAACATATTGCTGCTGGGAGATCCGGGAACAGCAAAGAGTCAGCTTTTGAAATTCGTCGAAAAGGTTTCTTTTTTCATTCACCAAACAGAACATAGAACATGCACTACTGAGTAACACAAAAGAGCGATCTGCAAAAGGAAGGAATTTTCACGAAAACATCAGATTACAGGTCATATGTCCTAACCTGTTCACGGTAGCGGGTCGCATTTACACATTCCAAGGAGGCTAGTTGCTTGTATAGGATGCTGCTCGTTACTTGTATAGATCGACCCATTTTTCCGCGCTATAGCATAAATGTTAATTAAAACATTTTTTTTTATTTCTTACTTTCATGGTATTTTTATAGGTGGCACCGATTGCAGTTTATACATCCGGTAAAGGTAGCAGTGCTGCTGGTTTAACAGCTTCTGTGAATCGTGATCCAGCATCGGTTCGTACATTTTACCAGCTCATTGCCCTCAAAATTTTGTTCATTGTTAGTAGAAAAGAAGGAATATCATTGATTTGAATGTTTTTTTTTAATTTCTTAATTTATTAGTTCTTGTCTTGTCTTAAATTTTAGCGAACGTTTATAATGGAAGGTGGTGCAATGGTGCTTGCTGATGGTGGAATTGTATGCATCGATGAATTTGATAAAATGCGCGAAGATGATCGTGTTGCGATTCATGAAGCTATGGAACAGCAAACAATTAGCATTGCTAAGGTTCTGTGTTTTGATTTTCTTCAAAAGAAAAAAAAAAAAATCGTGGAGTCTAGACGCGTATAGGGAAAGAACTTAAAACGGGAGGATGATACACGGAGTAGGAACATATATCCAAAGTTTCAGCCTCTCAGCTTTCCTGGTTGCTGAGAAAATTTTTATTTCTTTTCCAAAAAAAACCGATGAATTTCCAATCAAGTGTTGTAGAAATTTTAAAAAATACAAACAGCAAATATTCTTGGCAAGGAGATTGGAAGAGAACAGGGGCCTGAAATCTTTTATATGTTAAAATATGCTGTTTGTTTGGTGTTATTGGCCCACCGTAGAGAAGAATTTTCAACTTTTGAAGTTTACATGAGCGAACGGATTGGGAAAAACAATCCTTTTTTCTTGGATTCATTGATTCGTTTCGATAGTAACTTGATACTGATACTTTGCTTGATTTTAAGCAGATTTTGGATGTATAAATGGAAAAAACCCTTACGGAACGAAATATTTTTTTGAACAAATGAAGTAAATAATTTTTAAATTTTACCAAAAAAATCCATTTTACGAAGTTTCAGGCGGGCATCACAACTACGCTGAACTCACGCTGTTCGGTGCTGGCTGCAGCAAATTCGGTGTATGGTCGTTGGGATGATTCAAAAGGTGACGAGAATATTGATTTTATGCCAACGATATTATCACGATTCGATATGATTTATATCGTCAAAGATACTCACGATGTACTTCGTGATACGGTAAGCAGTAGTGGTACCGAATCATTAGCATTGAAACTATTTGTTTATACGTAGAATTCGCGAAAAAAATCGGAATTTTTACTAAATCGTAAATTGAAGTTTCGTTATAAAATTGGGACCTGCCTTTTACTGAGACGTTGGAAATGATCTGAACGATCTTTTGGAAGGACGGTACCTGTAAATAATGGTAAAGACACATGTGAACTTGAGTAGTGGAGAATAAGATCGTAGGGCTTGAGAAAGTTATGCATAGTGTTTAAGTGAATTCAATTGTACTGGTACTTCTTGCCGAACCACAGTTTTTTTTTTGGGAGGGGGAGGGGGGGCGAGGGAGGGGCGGAGCGGGTAATCTGTAGTTTTTGATCTACATTTTTCCTTTTGGGAAGTGGGAGGAGAGGAAATGATCTACAGTTTTTTTTTGAGAGGGAGGGGAAGAGAGCAGGTGACCTATAGTCTTTTTTTT